TTATCTCCAAGACAGGATTTTAAATGTTCTCACCACAAAAAAAATAATATGTCAGGTGATGGACATGTTAATTAGCTTGATTTAAACCTTCCTCAATGCATACCTGTATCAAAATATCATATAATTCATAAATATATACAATTATTTGTCAATTAAAATAAAAAACACTCATTCAGTGGTTCATGCCTGTAATTCCAGCTACTGTACTTGGGAGGTTGAGGCAGGAGAATTGAAAGTTCAAGGCTAGCCTGGGTAATTTAACAAGATGCTATCTCAAAATAAAAATAAAAAGGATCCTCATCCTTGGAGGTACCAGGACTACCAATTACCAGTTCTGCCCTGTAACTGCTGCCTACCTGCAAACATAATTTTTCTTCTTTTTTTGAGACAAGGTCTCACTGTGTAGCCCAGGCTAGCCTCCAACCGTCAGGGAAAGGGTTAAAGGGATAAGAATCAACTGGAATGAGTTTTCTCACCTGACCTTGGCTGTGTGCCTTTCTGTGTGGGAGCTGGCTACCTGAAAACGGAGTATAGAGAGATAACTGTTAATATGGGAAAGGCTGATTGCTCCAAGTCTAGCAAAGCCTGGGAACAGTTCTTCCAGCCGTGCAGGCCTGTTGGCACCAAGTCACTTTTGTCTGAATGTAGTATTTAAGGAACTGAGAAACTGGGTGTGGCATGGTGTTTTCTCACCTGCCAAAGGCCCCATCTCATGCAAGATCCTTCCCCAGCTGGGCATGGTGACACATGCCTGTAATTCCAGCACTCGGGAGGCAAAGGCAGGAGGATCACTGTGAGTTCAAGGCCAACCTGGGCTACACACTGAGTTCAAGCCTGCACTGCATAGTGAGACCCTGTCTCAAAAAGACCAAAAAGAAAAAATCCTTCACTAGAGGGTTCCCCTTCATCTTTGGTGTTGTCCCTGCCTTGTGTGGTAATATATTATTTGACTATGCTCATATCTGCTGTAATTTTATAATAAACTTACTTCCATCTTTTAAAAACCATTGTGTGGCTCTTCTCTGTTTGTACAGATCTGAATTTCTGTGGTCACATACATGTGACTCCTTGCTGTCACACAAACTCATGGTGATCCTCCTGATTCAGCCTCTTGATTACAGATGTGCAACACCATACCTGGCCCCAAATACAATTTTTAATAACAACAATAAATTTCTTATATATTAACAGCAGAGCAATGAGGATCATACCTTAAAGCCCCTGGAAAACTCCACTACCCACTCCTGAAAGAATAGGAATGAATAGCTGGATATGGTGGTATAGTCCTATAATCCCAGAAGTCAGGAAGCTGAGGCAGGAGGATTGCCACAAGTTCAAGGCCAACCTAAACTATACATAGTAAGACCCTGTCTCAAAAATCCAAAAAAAAAAAAAAAAGGAATATATTGTTGTTATATTATCTTGAAAATAGTTGAATATTGCAGATTATCCAAAGCAGTCCCTACAGAACACTTTGAGAATGGCTGGATTCTGTAATGGCATTGAATTGAAGTTAATTTCCTGATTTTATATTTTATTTTTTAGTCTTTTTGAGAAAGGGTCTTGCTGTACAGTTCAGGCTGGCCTTGAGCTTACTTTGTAGCCCAGGCTGGTCTTGAATTTACAACAATCCTCCTGTCTCAGCCTCCTAAGTACTGGGATTACAGGTGTGCACCACCACACCCGGTTTAATTTCCTGATTTTAGAGGATTCAAGTCTCCAAAGGAGGAAGGGCTGATGGAAGGGTCAGGGGGAGGAGAGCTGCTCACTTCATGGTGGGTGGAAGCAGAGAGCGAGGGAGAAGCCAGAGAGATAAGCCCTTCGGGGTCACACCCCAGTGACCTGCTCTTCTCTCCAGACCCCACCTCCTAACAGCACACTCAGCTATTGATTCAGCAGAGGATTAACCCTCAGATAAGGTCCATACCCACATGACCCAATCATCTTCTGAGAGACCCACTTCTAAACCCCTGGGCCTCTGGGGGACACTGTAGATATCAGCCCTAACACTCTCTTTTGATTTCTCAATTGCCTTTCTGTTCAGCACACTTCACCCCCACCCTCCACCCCTCTTCCAAGATTGAGGATCCTTGGGGCTCAGGCCTGGGCCCTGTCTGTGGTCTTTAGCTCCACTCCCCATTCTCTGCTCTTTGTTTCCACCTGTGTTAACAACTCCCGCATTCCCTCTCCTCCCAGACACCTCTGAGCTTGTGCTTCCAGAGATGCCTTCCCGGCACTGCCTCTTCCATGCGTCACAGACAGCACACAGTGACAGATGTCAGTGGACTTCAGCATTTCCGCCCCTGCTGTGTTACATGTGACTGGTCTTTGTTTTTGGTTTCCTGTGTGGAGCATCTCAAGCTCTTGGAATTGCTCAGGTGATAGTGATAGTGATAGTGTGAATCCCTCGTCACATCTGAGTTCACATGAGTGGGACGGTCTGGATGTGAGGTGGGCATGGGAAAGGTCAATCATGTGACTGGAGTGCTGGAGCTTGGAGCTGCCCTGACCTGCAGGAAGGGTGGGGGACAGTGTTGAACACTGAGGTCAACCAAATGGCCAGCGGTTCAGTCAAGCTTACACCAGTGAGGCAGGAGAGCAAGGACCAGTAAACAAAAGAAAGCCAGGGGATAAGAATTGAAAAGCCAGACAGAGAGAGGACGGCCATGTCAAAACATTAGACAGCCAATAGAGAAAGGTCACCCTGTTCCCCAAGGCGTACATAAAGCACAAAGTCACGACCTTGGCCTGTGTCCAACCTCATTTACATTGCAGTTTTGACTCCCCAGTGGGCTTTGGCCGCCATGACACTTCCTTTAAAAATCTTGTACTGTCAAAAACTCCCTCCCTCCCCCTATGGTGGGATGAGTCAGTTGCTCCACTGGTCATGACTGTTGCCCATCCCCAGGTAGAGACACCCCCCCCACACCCTGTCATCCCAGGACCTTCAAGACCCAGTGCTGCTTCTACTGGGCAAGGGCTTTTTCCCTACCTGCTCTCATTCTGTAGAGTGCACTATTAGTCTTAGCACATCCTACCTTTGCTACTCTTTCTGAGTACACTGGTTAATTCTTTGTTCAGGATGCCAAAAAACTGGAAACAACTCCCCCGAGAGAGTTTGCGCAAATAGCACCAAGAGTCCCAGCTGTGCTCTGCACATGGGGGCCCTGGTTTCCTGCTTGGTGAACACTTGAGGTACCAGGAGGGAGTTGAGTCCTGATTCCCCAGGCAGCAGGCACGGATGCTGTGTTAGGGATTCACCCCATTTATAGCCTTTGTGCTGAAACCATAATTTTAGAAATAGTGCTTTCCTGAGTTCATTAGTCATTCCAGTGAATTATCAATCTTGAAGGGGTTCTTTATTGTTATTGTCCCAATAATGGACTCTGTTCACTTTTTGTTTTTGTTGCTGTGCTGTCTATGGTGCAGACGCAGAGGTGGAGTATAGAGAGCCCTTCCTAGTCCTTGTCTAGGTCTGGGAAGTTTGTATTTGCAATCCCATGAAAAGTTATTGGAACTCTAGCAAGTTAATTCCAATCTACCACTTCCAGTGCAACCCATGGTGAGAATAAAGACACTAAGGCGTATTTGTAGTTGTGGGGACCCCAGGGGGGTCCTAAGTCCAGCTAGGGTGATGGTTAACAGGAAAAAGACCTCAACCCAGGGCTGAACCTGGGTTTTATTAATTCATGAAGAAGGGAGTGGCTTGAGGATGAGTGACTGTGAGAATGGCAGGAAGTAGGTGAGTGCTGTGAGCTGGGCTAGGAGGCCTGAAATCACCTCTGCAATACGCAGAGAGAAGGATATGCAGAAAGAGTAATCTGCATGACACAACTGAGGTAGTATTTAATGTTTTGGGGTTGGTGCTTCAGCTCTGATGTGTGATCTTTTATGCCCTGGAAGTTGTAGTCTCTTATCTCAAGCCTCCATCTCAGCAGCCAGCATGGAGTGTGGAGTGTGGCTCTGGGGCTCGGCTCACATGCTTTTTGGGAGCTACAGGGTGGGGCAGCACTGACCTGTCCCCTTGCTTTAAAGACTACCATCAGCACCTTGGCCAGACCGATTTGCATTGCTTAAAGCCAATCAAAGGGATAAAGAAAAGTCCTAACCAGCTCTATACATATCAGTACATGGAAACAGGGCGAGGGTCAGCCAAAATGGAGACAATTGCTTCTCTTTCAAGGTGACTTGCCCAGGTGGTCCTCCACAGTGGAACTCTCTGCTTCCCACTGAAATTTTTCCTTGGAAGTCTTTGCCTCAAGCACACAGTGGACCTCTGCCCGAACTGTTTCATCAATGGTAACAATTTAAGGTGATAATGGTGGTCTGTTTCATTCAAATTTCCTAACCACCCTAGGAAGGGGGGCTAACTATTAATATTCGTATGATAGATGGAATTAGAATTTGAGAATCACACACCTGTTTACTATCATGTCATGACATGACTAAATCAAATGAATAGTTATATAGTTAAACTGCTATTTTAGCAGCACATGTTTATCTACTTATTTATTTATACACCACCAGGGCCTTTACACTGAGCTCCATCTCCAGACCCCCTTATTTTATTTTGGAGACAGGGTCCCACTATGTCACTAAGTTGCTCAGGCTGGGCTTGAACTTTCGATCCTCCTGCCTCAGCCTCCCAGGATCCTGGGATTACAGGTGTGCGACACCATAGGAGCTGCCCAGATCTTTTATCTCTGCTTGGCCATGGAGGTAGAAAGGTAAGAAGGGGAAGAATGTGGCAGGATCTGGGGGCAGAGTGGGAAGCAGGAACTAGAAACACAAGAATAGGTCAGTTGGGTTTTAGAAATGATGGCTGTTAGGTCCAGGGACAGGTAGGTCTAGGCAGAGAGAGGAATCTGGGCGGGCCCTGAGGCTCTGCGGGGGGCAGCCCCTTCCGAGAGTGTGGGCGGGCCCGAGGAACAGGGGCGTGGCGTTGCTTGACTGGTGGGCGTGGCCAACAACTGCGGCCAATCGGAGGGCAGGCGTGGCAGGCGCGGGCGGGGCGCCGGTGTCCGGATCGCCCCGGGCCTCGCGCGCGCTTCTCGGTGTTCCCCGCAGAGGGCGCCGGCCCGGAGCCGCCGCGTCGCCAGCAGCCAGCCCAGCCGCCGCCATGAAGGCCGTAGTGCAGCGCGTCACCCGGGCCAGCGTCACAGGTCAGTCGGGGCCCCGCGCCTCCACGCTGTCCCGACAGCGGCCCCGCCGGGCCCTGCGCACGTGCTGGCCGCAGCGTGTCCGTGTCCGCCTCCTTCTCCGCGCCGATTCGCCCCGTGCCGCCCGCCCGTCGCGCTCGGTGACACCGACGCGCGGGCATCGTTTCCGGGGCGGCCTCCTCCCGCCCTTTTGCGTCTCCCCGGCGGTCCGGGGTTCGCGGAGCCTCGCTCCCCATGCGTAAAACGCGCCTATGCGAGCCCGGCCGAGCCCGGACAGCTGTGTCCACGCAGGGACCCCGGCCATGGACCCTGCAGACCGGGGTTCCCCCAAAGCAAGCAGAGGGGACATCTCTGGCCCACGCAGCCCTGGTCACCCCTTGGAATCCCCTGGTCTGGTTGCATCAGGGGCCAGAGCCTACTGTAGCTAATGTAGTTATCCTAGACGCCCAGAGCTGATAGGCCCGATAGGTGCTAAACAAAACGTTTAAACGACAAGTGTTACATTGCCTTTTAGTCTTTTTCATTTTTATCGGCAGAATTATATTGTTTCAAGATCCGTGTCCCTGCCTCAGTGGCTGAGGCAAAAGAATCGCTCTTGAGTTCAGGAGTTCAAGGCCAACCTGAGCAACAGAGGGGACCCTTCCTCAAAACAAAGTGTGTACTTGTGTGTATATGTGTGTATAAGTATTAAAAATCCGAACTCCCTAACGAGCAAAGTGTGTACATGTGTATATATGTGTGTATAAGTATGAAAAAAACCAAAACTCCCAAATTAACCAACTAAAACTATATATTTAGATCTACTTTTCAACCCCACCTAATGATTTATAAGGTGTTCCCATAGCTTTGCTTTTAGAAATGGTCTTGAAATAATATTTTTAAAAGGTTTTTTTTTGACAGGGTCTTGCTCTGTAGTTCAGGCTGGCCTTGAACTCACTGTGTGGCCTTGAAGTCAAAGAGATCCTCCAGCCCCAGCCTCTGGAGTGCTGGGATTACAGGCATGCACCACCACACCTAGTCAGATTGTATGCTTTTAGTTAAAACCAACCAACCTGTGAATTAAAAAGATAATGCGAGTTGGGGAACTCTGGAATTTCAATATTGGAGGAATACTTGAGTTATCCATGGCTTCTAGTTGAATAGCAATGCAAGAGACTTTCTGGTTCTTAAAGTATGTGCCTGGAGTCACTGAAATGTGGCATCATTTGAGTGACATTTTATTTTAGGGGATTTATTTTTTCCATCAAAATTAAAATTTATTTCTCTTTGAAAACCTCAAAGAAAAGAAAACAAGCAACAGACGAGGAGAAAATGTTTACAAATTGCATATCTGACAAAGGACTCGTTTGTACGATATTAAAAGAGATCTTAAGATCAATAATAATTAGGTCAAGTGGACTATTAAACTGTAAAAGGAATGAAAGTTTGATTCATGCTATAACATGGATGAAGTTTGAAAATACTGTACGCAGTGAAATAAGGCAGACAGAGGAGGGGAAACATTGTTTGGGTCTGCTTACATGAGTTACTTGGTGGAGACAGAAAGTGGAATAGAGAATACCAGAGACTGGGGAGAGGAGCGGTATTGTGTAATGAGCACAGAGTTATTGATGGGGATGATGAAAAAGTTTACATCGTGGTAACAGTTGCATAATAGTGTGATCCATTTAATGCCATCGAATTGCATACTTATAAAGGTAAATATTGCATAATATGTATTTTATTTCAATTTTTAAAAACCTCAGTGGTAAGACAAATAAGCTTTTTTTTATTTTAAAGTGAAAAAAATAAAATTTCAAAACAAGATAATAGGGTAACAATGGTTAATACATTGTGTATTGTTATCTTTAAATTACTCAAGAGTACAAGATATCGGCATTGATTTTAGGGAATTTAAACTAGCACTTCTTATTTTATGGTAAAGATGGTATCTATAATCACATTTTTATCCAGCAGATTTGCTTTGTGAACTTGGTCTGACACATTTAATGCCTTAGTATAGTTACTGTGTTAATGTAATTTTTATTTTATTTTGTGGTGCTTGAAATTAAAACCAGGGCCTGTGTGTGGTGCTAGGCAAGTGCTCTACCAGGGAGCTACAGCCCCAGGCCTGTGCTAATCTAATTTAAAAAACTTTATTAGAGAAGTTTTTTCAAACATACTCTGTGTGTGTGTGTGTGTGTGTGTGTGTGTGTGTGTGTGTGTGTGTTTTGAGACAGGGAGGGTCTTGCTATGCAGATCAGGCTGGGCTTGAGCTCACTTTGTAGCCCAGGCTGGTCTCGAACTTGCAGTGATCCTCCAGCCTCAGCCTACTGAGTACTGGGATTATAGGCGTGCGCCACTACATCCAGCTCATTTGTTTACATGGACCAAATAACATAGTAACTCCTGTGTCCCATCACTAAGTTTTAACACTGGCGCATGCAGGAGGATCACCATGAGTTTGAGGCCAACCTGGTCTACCTAGTGAGTCTGTGTCTCCAAACACAAAAAAACAGATGGCCTCATTTCAGAGCTCATGGAATCTGGAAGAGGTTGTAGAGCTCATACCACCTATTTATGGAAGAAATGACCAAACAGCTCTTTTCCAGCCTGTGATCTTTTTGTCTAAGGTGTTGATTTTCAGTTATTTCCCTTGGAAAACCATTTGTGTGTAACAGAAGGCCCCTTTGATCCTGGGCGTCCTTCCCCTTCCCCTTGGAGGAGGTACACCGCAAGCTCCAAGAGAAATGTCCAGTGTAGTTCACAGATAGGTTTTGGGAAAGAATTTCTTTAGTATAAAGATAATAAATTACAAAAATGTTGACTCTCTTTGATGGTGTCTCTGTTTTAGAGGCTCTATGCCAAGAAAACAATTCTTAATTGTAGAAAATCTTTATGTTATAAAGATTTTTCACCATACTTTGATTTATGGAAGGAAAAACTTCAAACAAGCCATGTGTCCAGAGAATTGGGTGGCGAATTGGTCACTGGTGAGGATGCGGCTATTAAAGGTGGTTAGGGAAAGCTCGTTACATGGAAAAATTCTTATGCAGTGATAAAAGATGAGATACTTTTCATCCAGTTATAAAAATTATCATAGGAGTTGAAAACAAATATGAAATAAAATCTCCGAACACAAAATATCAAAAATGATTAAAATATTAAAGTACTTTTGGTGTTCTTTTTTTTTCTTCTTATTTCTTGTATTTTCTAGATTTTCTGTATTATATACATTATGAGTCTATATGGATATGGATATGGATAGGTAGCTCTGTAACTTTTAGTTTTTAAAACTTTCGGGAAAACAATATGTTGATGTTGTAAGAAAATAATGTTGAATTAAAAAACAAATAAAGCAAGAGGGCTTTTTTCTTTTTTTCCCTTTGTGGGTTTTTTTGAGACAGAGTCTTGCTATGTAGCCCAGGCTGACCATGAACTTGTGGCAGTCCTCCTGCCTCAGCCTCCTGGGTGCTGGGATTACAGTGTGTGTAATTTCAGGTGTCTCGCCCCAGGTAATAGATGAAAATGTGGGCCTAGAATCCTGCTTAGTGGTTGCTAACTTTACAGCTCCCATTCACTGCAGATATCAGAATGGAGCTGTCCATGGTGGCACACATCTGTGATCCCAGGACTCTGGGAGGCTGAGGCAGGAGGATCGAAAGTTCAAGCCTACCCTGGGCAATTTAGTGACTTGGCAAGACTCTCTTTCAGGTTTTTTTTTTTCTTTTTTTGGTACCAGGGATCGAACTTAGGACCTTGTGCTTGGCAGGCAGGAGCTTGTGCCACTGAGCTATATCTCCAGCAAGACCCTGTTTCAAAATGAAAAATAAAAAAAGAGCTGGGAAGTATAAAGGCCCTGTGTTCAATCCCCAGTACCAGCAAAAGAGAAGAATCAAAAGGGATGGGAGTGTCTAGCCTCTTAACTGCTGGTATGCACCATCATTCTTTTTGCTCAAGAGCTTGTGTGAAGCGAAGTGCACTGTGGGACTCAGCCCTTGGTTGCCTCAGGGCGCTTCTGAGCCAGTCTCTTTTGGTTTCTTCTAGTTGGAGGCGAGCAGGTGAGCGCCATCGGCCGGGGCCTCTGCGTGCTGCTGGGCATCTCCCTGGAGGACTCACAGAAGGAGCTGGAGCACATGTGAGGGCCTGGGCTGGGGGGGCCTTGACTTGTGTCCCCAGTGCTTTGATCTGTCTCTGCCCTCTATAGTAAGGTCATCTCTGTGTGTCTCATGGAGGAAGGCAGCGTGGGCTTCATCTTCCTTGCTTCTGAACCCGCAGGCTTGTTCCCCCCACTCTCCCCAGTACCAGGTACTGAACCTAGGGCCTTTGCCCTGAGCTACCTTCCCCCTCCCCTTTACAATTTACATTCCTTAGGCTGGGCTAGAACTTTGCATCCTCCTGCCTCAGTGTCCCAGAGCTGAGATTACAGGCTCTCAAGCCCGGTGCTCTTTTCGCTTAATGCAAAAACCAAAGCTCCTATCAATGGGTTCTTTTTGAAACTTGGGCAGTATGACCTGGGCACTGGTCACACCTCTGAGGTGCCCCATGGTTCATTATCCACATGAGACTGAGAGCCTGGAGAGGCAGCTCTCTGCCTTGGGCTGTGTGTGCATAGCAGAGGCCTGAGCCCGAGGTTGGAGCTTGCTGCTGTGGCCTGGCTCCCTGTCCTGGGGGGTCAGCCCTGTCCAAGTTGGTGTCCCTCGTGGCATTTTGGCTTCAGACACTTGCCCCTTGCTGCCCAGAGCCTGTGACAACCCTGCCCAGCTGTCCCCGTGCTGGTGAGGTGCAGTGAGGTCTGGAATGATACCCACCCCGGAGGGCGCATGCGTAGTCAGGGGTTAGGGGGTCAGCTTCCCAGGAGGTGTCTCATGGTCCTGAGTCTGACCTGTGACTGTCCTACTTCCTTGCCAGGGTAGCTGTCCTGTGTCAGCCACAGTAGGGGACACAGCCCTGTATTTAGGCAGATCCCTGGCCTGGAGGAACAGGCAGCACAGGTTGCCGCTCCAGTTGGCCAGGAGCTGCTGTGGACAAGGGCAGCAGCAGCAGAGAGCCCAGGGCAGTGTCCTGGGACAAGGCTGCACTTGGTGGTGGTGTCCATGAGTCCTAGGCAGGGTCATGCCTTCCAGGAGCTGTGGCTCTGTCCCCCCTTGGCAGCAAGCTGGGGACGGCTGGAGTGCGTGGAGTGTGGGGGTCCCACAGGCACCCTCACTGCTCTCCTTTCCCCACAGGGTCCGGAAGATCCTGAACCTGCGTGTGTTTGAGGACGAGAGCGGCAAGCACTGGTCCAAGAGCGTGATGGACAAGCAGTACGAGGTGCTGTGTGTCAGCCAGTTCACTCTGCAGTGCGTCCTCAAGGGCAACAAGCCCGACTTCCACCTGGCCATGCCCACCGAGCAGGCCGAGGGCTTCTACAACAGCTTCCTGGAGCAGCTGCGGAAGACCTACCGGCCCGAGCTCATCAAAGGTGCCCTGGCATGGCGGATGGGAGGGGGCGGGTGGCCAGGCAGAGGGACAGGGCCCAGGTCACCATCTCTGTGTCTGCGCAGTCCCTGCTGATGCCTGGACCCCCAGCACCATCACCGCTGCCCCTGACAGATTTAGCTGCAGTCCTTGAGGTGCGCTGAATGCAGAAGTGTCACCTGCTTCCCACAGTCCCCGTGTGGAAATGAGGGATCCACAAGTGTGATGTCGCTGATTTCCTTGGTGGCTTTGCTAGCGCTGTGCAGTGGAACAGAGTGCAGGCCCTAAATGTGACCTAGTATGTCCTTAGTTCCTAGTGGATGTGTCCCAAAGAGGAAGCAAGGGGAATGAATTTAAAAATGATTTCATTTGACTCAGTAGATACAGAATATTATTTTTACTGTACGATCAATATACAGAGTTGTGATATTGTTATTACTAATTTATTGTTTTTGCTGTGAGGGTCACAGCAGACCTGAGAGAAGGTACGGAGATGTCACGCGTCATAGCCAGTGGACCTACATGACCCTGCTAGTCACCACCGTCCCCAGGGTACATGTGGTCATGCGTGGTGTTGTGTATCCTGTGGGCTTGGATACAGTGACAGCAACATATCTCAGTCTCATCACTGTGCTCCCTGGGCCGCCAGACCACCAATCGTTTGGTTTCCCTGTGGATTCTGCACTGAGCTACGTTTCTAGCCCTTTTAATTTCTGAGACAGAGTCTCACTAAATTACCAAGTTGCCCAGATTGGACTCCAACTTGCTATCCTCCTGCCTCAGCCTCTCAGAGTGCTGGGATTATAGGCATGTACCAGTTCTTTTACTTACTGGCATGCCCTTAAAGCTTCTTTATCACTTGCTGGCTCCTTTCTTTGTAGCAATGATTAATATTCCATTGCCTGGTTGTCCCACAGTGCACCTACTCATTTGTAGCAGGCTATCTTTTTTTTTTTTTTTTTTCTGGTATCGGGAATCGAACTCATGACCTTGCACTTGCCAGGCAGGCGCTGTGCCGCTGAGCTAAATCCCCAGCCCCCCTGCAGGGTATCTTGATTGCTGTCAAGTTTACACAATTGTGAATGAAGCTTCCATAAGTGTCCACTTGTGGGTTCGGTGAGCATGTAACTTCTCACCTCCTTTTGATTGCTAGATCAGATAGTAGGAGTGTGGTTCTTGTGTGGGAAAGTGTCCTACTGTACCTCTTTGGATTCTCCTGGTGGTGAGTTCCTGCTGCACTTTCTATCCTCACCAGCCTTTGGTCTTGGCATTGTGTAGAGTTTGGCCTTTCCAAAGATGTTTGGATGGGTCAGGCCTGGTGGCGCATGCCTGTAATTCCAGGGCTCAGGAGGCTGAAGCAGGAGGCTTGCTGCAAGTTCAAGGCCAGCCTGAGCTACATTGTGAGTTCAAGGCCAGCCTGAACTACACAGCAAGAACCTGTCTCAAAAAGTCAAACACAGAAACCGAAAGATGTTGAGTGGGTTCTCTGGTTGATTTACATTTCCCATGATGAATGACGTGGAGCATCTTTTCTTTTTTTTTTGGTTTTTCTCCGGTACCGGGAACCGAACTCACGACGTTGCGCTTGCCAGGCAGGCGCTTTTGCCGCTGAGCTAAATCCCCAGCCCCACGTGGAGCATCTTTTCATTGGCTCATTTGCTATCTGTATATCATTTTGGTGAGGTGACTGATAAGGTTTTTGGCCCATTTTTTAACTGAATTGTTTTTTTTTTTTCTTGCTGAGTTCTTTGTATATTTTGGATACCGATCTTACAGATATATACTAGTCCTACTAGATAGATATTCACTTTGCAAAAGTTTGTCCATAATGAGAGCTGTCTTTGGCAAGTATTTCCTTCCAGACTATGGGTTGTCTTTTCATTCTCTAGGCAGTGTCTTTCACGGAGTGGAGCATTGTAGTTTTATTGAAGACCCGCTGCTGGTCTGTTTTGTCTGTTGTGAATTTTGCCTTCAGTGTTGTATCTGAGGAGTCACCACCATCACAGCATCAGTGGTGTTCTCCTGTGTTATCTTCTAGCAGTTTTATAGTTTTGCATTTTATTGTTAGATCTGTGTGTAGTGTGAGGAGTGCAAGTTCTGTGTCTAGATCTGGTTTTTTGCCTGTAGATGTCCAGGTGTTCCAGTGACACCTGTGAAGATTCCTTTCTGCATTGTTTTGCCTCAGCTTCTTTGTCAAAGTTCTGTCGACAGAGTTCATGTCAGTGTATTTCTGGGCTTCTGTGGATGTATTCGTCATGTTTTTGCTAATATCACCATGTCTCTCTCTATATATATAGCTCTTACTATTATTTGGTGATTATTTGATTGCTTTCGCATTGAGCTACATACCTAGCCCTTCCTTTTTATTTGAAGCAAGGTCTTGCTTAGATGCTGAGTTGCCCAAGTAGAGCTTGAATTTGTGATCCTCCTGCCTCAGCCTCCCAGAGTGCTGAGATTACAGATACACACAACCACAGCCAGCTTTCATTTGCTGATATTTTTTTGAAGATTTTTCTCATCTCTATTCATGAGTGGTATTGGGCAATAAGTTATTTTTTTAAAATCTTCTGTCTGTAGTCTTGTTATTAGAGTGATTCTGGCTTTGTAGCATGGCTTAGGGATACTCTATTAGCATCTGTCTTCTGAAAAAGATATTTGGTAGAATTTACCTGTGAGCTCACTTGGTTCTAGTGCTTACCTTTTGGAGTATTAGTAATTCTAGATTATTTTCTTAATAGATAAAGGCCCATTTATTTATTCATTATATTTTTTGAGATAGGATTTTGCTATGTAGTTCAGGCTGGTGTTGAACTTACTGTGTAGCCCAGCCTGGTCTCAAATTCGTGATCCTTCTACCTCTCCCTTCTGAATGCTAGGATTACAGGCATGCGCCACCACACCTGGCATTTATTTCTTTTTATTCTTTTTATTTTTTTGTCTTTTTTGAGATAGAGTCTCACCATGCAGTTCAGGCTGGCCCTGAGCTCACTTTATAACCCAGGCTGGTCTCCAACTGCAATGATCCTCCTGCCTCAGCCTTCCGAGTGCTGGGATCACAGGCGTGTGCCACCACGCCCACCTTCATTTTATTTCTTATATTAGTAATTTGTATCTTCTTTCTCTTAGCTTGTCTAGTGGCTTATTGATTTTATTTATATTTTTATTGATATTTTAAAAGAACCAGCTGTTGATTTACTCTGTTGATTTCCTGTTTTCAATTTATTGATTTCTGTTCTAATTTAATATTTTTTTCTTCTGCTTACTTTGGATTTAATTTGCGCTTTTTTTTTTTTCTAGTTTTCTAGGGAGGAAACTTCGATTATAGATTTTTATCTTTTCTAATGCAAATATTCAGTGTTACAGATTTTCCCCTTTTGCACTTTTCTACAAGGCTTTTGGACCCAGTCTTTGAATGCTGTTGTGAGTTTATACTGAGATCACATCGACTTCAGACCAGCGCATCTCAGCTGCCCTGGAGCCACACAGGACTAGTGGGTGCTGTGGTGGTAGTATAAATTCACTCTAATGTGATCCTGATTAATGGCAGAATTATGAAGCTCAAGAATTTCTAAAGAAGCTGCCTCATTCTACTCTCTTTCCATGTTTCTGGGGGTACATTGCATTTAATACCATTGTTATTTTGCTCTTTTTACAAAGTTACTAGGAAACACACTCAGCCTCTCTTGGTGCTGTGTTTTATCTTTTTTTTTTTGTCTTTTTGAGACAGGGTCTCGCTATGCAATTCAGGCTGGCCTTGAGCTCACTTTGTAGCCCAGGCTGGCCTTGAACTCGCAATGGTCCTCCTGCCTCAGTCTTGTGAGTGCTGGGATTATAGGCATGCACCACCATGCCCGGCCAATAATATCAGTAACAACAGCTAATATTTATGGAACTACATATTACATATGGGTTACCTTTTTTTTTTTTTATTTTTTGGTACCAGAAATTGAACTCATGACCTCAGGCTTGCCAGGCAAGTGCTTATGCCGCTGAGCTATATCCCTAGCCCTCTGCATTTTATCTTGAGACTTTAAAAAAAAAAATTTAAACTTGTTTTTTGGTTTCTGGAGACAGGGTCTTCCTTGCTAGGCCAGGCTGGCCTCGTACTTGTGGTGGTCCTCCTGCCTCATCCTCCCAGTGCTGGGATTACAGACACACACCAGCATGTCTAGCAAGAGTGACCTATTAATGCAGAACATCCTTTTCCATCTCTGACTGCAGTATTTCTTGCTCTTGTCATATGCTTCTGCAGGTTTCTAATTCTTGTTGTTAACTTTGGAGTGTTTCAGCTTCTTTAATTTTCTCCCAGCAGGCCGGGTGTGGTGGCACATGCCTGTAATCCCAGCACTTGGGAGGCTGAGGCAGGAGGATTGTTGTGCATTTAAGACCAGCCTGGGCTACAAAGTGAGCTCAAGGCCAGCCTGAACTGCATAGCGAGACCTTGTCTCAAAAAGACAAAAAAAAGAAATTTTTTTTTCTCCCTGCATTACACAAACCGAGACCCTTTTCCCACAGGGCCTCTTTGGCCTGATATTGAAGATGACGAGAAGGCTTTGGGGTGCTGTGGCTGAGCCTGCCTCGAGGACCCTTCACTGCCAGGCTTGCTGCTGTTTGTCCTCTTGGCATTTTCTTTGAGCTGTCCCCCTTGTGAAATGTGTCAGCCTGTCACATGGGCATGGAGTCTACGGTAGAGGACTCTCCTTTGCCATTTCCTGGTGGCTACCATGTGTTCGCCTTTTCTGGGAACCCAGGGTGCCCTGTTGGGTCTCTGTGCTTTGCCCCACAGTGTCCCCTGGGGTCCTCCCGACTGTGCTCGAGCAGTCTCTTCTCAGATGCCAGGTCCTGTGAGGAATTCGTTTTCTTTTTTCGTTTTTGAGGCAGGGTCTCACTATGTAGTGACTGGCCTTGAACTCACTTGTGTAGCCCAGGCTGGCTTCAAACTGACAGTGATTCTCCTGCCTCAGCCTCCCGAGTGCTGGATTACAGGCATGTGCCATCATGCCT